GGTATAAATAGTCTTCAGGATTGGCTGGATTCCTGTTAGTTTACAGGAAAGAGTAATCACTCGCTAGCAGTGTTTGAGTTGGACTTATAGTTTTCCATTTCTTAATTAAAAATATTTTGTCTAAACTTTCACTGATTGTCCAAATGAACTGTGCAGACAGAACCAGTGGACTGGACAGGACTGATTGATCGATGTAGCTGTATGTGTTGCCTCTTGCCTGACTCTCCCCGTCCCCATTAGAACTACACACTCCCTCTGACCATCTAAACTCTGGGGGAGGTTGGTACTCCATCTAAGCTCTCCAGGAGGTTGCTACTCCATCTAAACTCTGGGGGAGGTTGCTACTCCATCTAAACTCTCCAGGAGGTTGGTACTCCATCTAAACTCTGGGGGAGGTTGGTACTCCATCTAAACTCTCCAGGAGGTTGCTACTCCATCTAAACTCTGGGGGAGGTTGCTACTCCATCTAAACTCTGGGGGAGGTTGGTACTCCATCTAAACTCTGGGGGAGGTTGGTACTCCATCTAAACTCTCCAGGAGGTTGCTACTCCATCTAAACTCTGGGGGAGGTTGGTACTCCATCTAAACTCTGGGGGAGGTTGCTACTCCATCTAAACTCTGGGGGAGGTTGCTACTCCATCTAAACTCTGGGGGAGGTTGGTACTCCATCTAAACTCTGGGGGAGGTTGGTACTCCATCTAAACTCTGGGGGAGGTTGCTACTCCATCTAAACTCTGGGGGAGGTTGCTACTCCATCTAAACTCTGGGGGAGGTTGGTACTCCATCTAAACTCTGGGGGAGGTTGGTACTCCATCTAAACTCTGGGGGAGGTTGCTACTCCATCTAAACTCTGGGGGAGGTTGCTACTCCATCTAAACTCTGGGGGAGGTTGCTACTCCATCTAAACTCTGGGGGAGGTTGGTACTCCATCTAAACTCTCCAGGAGGTTGCTACTCCATCTAAACTCTGGGGGAGGTTGCTACTCCATCTAAACTCTGGGGGAGGTTGCTACTCCAACCTCCCCCAGAGTTTAGATGGAGTAGCAACCTCCCCCAGAGTTTAGATGGAGTAGCAACCTCCCCCAGAGTTTAGATGGAGTAGCAACCTCCCCCAGAGTTTAGATGGAGTACCAACCTCCCCCAGAGGAAGCCTTTAAAGAATAAAACATATTCCAAAACATGCATTCTGTTTGCAACAAGGCACAATTGGCCCAGCGTGTCCGGGTTTGGCCGGTGTAGGCCGTCATTGTAAATAAGAATTTGTTCTTAACTGACTTGCCTAGTTAAATAAAGGTTAAAAAAATAAAAATAATAATACTGCAAAAAATGTGGCAAAGCAATTACGGTTTTGTACTGAATACAAAGTGTTATGTTTGGGGCAAATCCAACACATCACTGAGTACCACTCTCGATATGTTCAAGCATGGTGTTGACTGCATCATGTTATGGGCATGCTTGTCATCGGCAAGGGCTAGGGTTAAATAAAGTTAAATTATTGTCTTGCTGAAATGTGAATTAATCTACCAGTGTCTGGCAGACTAAACCAGGTTTTCCTCTGGGATTTTGCCTGTACATAGCTCTATTCCGTTTCTTTATTATGTTTCTTTATTATGTTTTATGTGTTAAATAAAGGTTAAAAAAATAAAAATAATAATACTGCAAAAAATGTGGCAAAGCAATTACGATTTTGTACTGAATACAAAGTGTTATGTTTGGGGCAAATCCAACACATCACTGAGTACCACTCTCGATATGTTCAAGCATGGTGTTGACTGCATCACCTAGCCCTTGCCGATGACAAGCATGCCCATAACATGATGCAGTCAACACCATGCTTGAACATATCGAGAGTGGTACTCAGTGATGTGTTGGATTTGCCCCAAACATAACACTTTGTATTCAGTACAAAACCGTAATTGCTTTGCCACATTTTTTGCAGTATTATTATTTTTATTTTTTTAACCTTTATTTAACACATAAAACATAATAAATAAACATAATAAAGAAACGGAATAGAGCTATGTACAGGCAAAATCCCAGAGGAAAACCTGGTTTAGTCTGCCAGACACTGGTAGATTAATTCACATTTCAGCAAGACAATAACCTAAAACACAAGCCTAAATCTACACTGGAGATTCTTTTTTGTTGAGAGCTCTAAATTCGGCTGAGAACATCACAGTAAAATGAAACCATGGTTGCTGTATTCACTAATGTGTCCCCTTTAAAATGCTGTTTCCCAGGCTTGGCTTTGTCGCTCAGAGGCAGAGGAAGTATATTATTTGTATGGATAAGCCAGAAAGTGTGACACACAACTCCCTACAAATGTTCATGTCAAATCCACAGTGTTAGTGGAAAGCAGGCTGAAGGGGCTTTCTGGACGCTGCGACGCTCACAGTGTTAGTGGAAAGCAGGCTGAAGGGGCTTTCTGGACGCTGCGACGCTCACAGTGTTAGTGGAAAGCAGGCTGAAGGGGCTTTCTGGACGCTGCGACGCTCACAGTGTTAGTGGAAAGCAGGCTGAAGGGGCTTTCTGGACGCTGCGACGCTCACAGTGTTAGTGGAAAGCAGGCTGAAGGGGCTTTCTGGACGCTGCGACGCTCACAGTGTTAGTGGAAAGCAGGCTGAAGGGGCTTTCTGGACGCTGCGACGCTCACAGTGTTAGTGGAAAGCATGCTGAAGGGGCTTTCTGGACGCTGCGAAGCTCACAGTGTTAGTGGAAAGCAGGCTGATGGGCTTTCTGGACGCTGCGACGCTCACAGTGTTAGTGGAAAGCAGGCTGATGGGGCTTTCTGGCACTATAAGCTCAAACTCGACAGGTTGTGGAAAGCGAGGCTTCTGGACTGCGAGCTCCATGTTAGTGGAAACCAGGAAGGCTTGCGCTGAGTAGATGGACGATGCCTTCTCTACGACTGCAGTCAGTTTGGAGAGAGAGCAGGATGGCCTTCCATCCAGACTGCAGCTCCAGTTTGGAGAGAGAGAGTGCCTTCATCCAGACTGACAGCCAGTTGGAGAGAAGAGAGATGCTTCCATCCAGACTGACAGCCAGTTTGGAAGAGAGAGATGCCTTCCATCCAGACTGACAGTCAGTTTGGAGAGAGAGAGATGCCTTCCATCCAGACTGACAGCCAGTTTGGAGAGAGAGAGATGCCTTCCATCCAGACTGACAGCCAGTTTGAGAGAGAGAGAGATGCCTTCCATCCAGACTGACAGCCAGTTTGAGAGAGAGAGATGCCTTCCATCCAGACTGACAGCCAGTTTGGAGAAGAGAGAGATGCCTTCCATCCAGACTGACAGCCAGTTTGCCTTCCATCCAGACTGACAGCCAGTTTGGAGAGAGAGAGATGCCTTCCATCCAGACTGACAGCCAGTTTGGAGAGAGAGAGATGCCTTCCATCCAGACTGACAGCCAGTTTGGAGAGAGAGAGATGCCTTCCATCCAGACTGACAGTCCAGTTTGGAGAGAGAGAGAGATGCCTTCCATCCAGACTGACAGCCAGTTTGGAGAGAGAGAGATGCCTTCCATCCAGACTGACAGCCAGTTTGGAGAGAGAGAGAGATGCCTTCCATCCAGACTGACAGCCAGTTTGAGAGAGAGAGAGATGCCTTCCATCCAGACTGACAGCCAGTTTGGAGAGAGAGAGAGATGCCTTCCATCCAGACTGACAGCCAGTTTGGAGAGAGAGAGATGCCTTCCATCCAGACTGGACAGTCAGTTTGAGAGAGAGAGAGATGCCTTCCATCCAGACTGACAGCCAGTTTGGAGAGAGAGAGATGCCTTCCATCCAGACTGACAGTCCAGTTTGGAGAGAGAGAGATGCCTTCCATCCAGACTGACAGTCCAGTTTGGAGAGAGAGAGATGCCTTCCATCCAGACTGACAGCCATTTGGAGAGAGAGAGATGCCTTCCATCCAGACTGACAGCCAGTTTGGAGAGAGAGAGATGCCTTCCATCCAGACTGACAGCCAGTTTGGAGAGAGAGAGATGCCTTCCATCCCAGACTGACAGCCAGTTTGGAGAGAGAGAGAGATGCCTTCCATCCAGACTGACAGCCAGTTTGGAGAGAGAGAGATGCCTTCCATCCAGACTGGACAGCCAGTTTGGAGAGAGAGAGATGCCTTCCATCCAGACTGACAGCCAGTTTGGAGAGAGAGAGATGCCTTCCATCCAGACGGACAGCCAGTTTGGAGAGAGAGAGAGATGCCTTCCATCCAGACTGACAGCCAGTTTGGAGAGAGAGAGATGCTTCCATCCAGACTGACAGCCAGTTTGGAGAGAGAGAGAGATGCCTTCCATCCAGAACTGACAGCCAGTTTGGAGAGAGAGAGATGCCTTCATCCAGACTGACAGCCAGTTTGGAGAGAGAGAGATGCCTTCCTCCAGACTGACGTCAGTTTGGAGAGAGAGAGATGCCTTCCATCCAGACTGACAGCCAGTTTGGAGAGAGAGAGAGATGCCTTCCATCCAGACTGACAGCCAGTTTGGAGAGAGAGAGATGCCTTCCATCCAGACTGACAGCCAGTTTGGAGAGAGAGAGATGCCTTCCATCCAGACTGACAGCCAGTTTGGAGAGAGAGAGATGCCTTCCATCCAGACTGACAGCCAGTTTGGAGAGAGAGAGATGCCTTCCATCCAGACTGACAGCCAGTTTGGAGAGAGAGAGATGCCTTCCATCCAGACTGACAGCCAGTTTGGAGAGAGAGAGATGCCTTCCATCCAGACTGACAGCCAGTTTGGAGAGAGAGAGATGCCTTCCATCCAGACTGACAGCCAGTTTGGGAGAGAGAGAGATGCCTTCCATCCAGACTGACAGCCAGTTTGGAGAGAGAGAGAGATGCCTTCCATCCAGACTGACAGCCAGTTTGGAGAGAGAGAGATGCCTTCCATCCAGACTGACAGCCAGTTTGGAGAGAGAGAGATGCCTTCCATCCAGACTGACAGTCAGTTTGGAGAGAGAGAGATGCCTTCCATCCAGACTGACAGCCAGTTTGGAGAGAGAGAGAGATGCCTTCCATCCAGACTGACAGCCAGTTTGGAGAGAGAGAGATGCCTTCCATCCAGACTGACAGCCAGTTTGGAGAGAGAGAGATGCCTTCCATCCAGACTGACAGCCAGTTTGGAGAGAGAGAGATGCCTTCCATCCAGACTGACAGCCAGTTTGGAGAGAGAGAGATGCCTTCCATCCAGACTGACAGCCAGTTTGGAGAGAGAGAGATGCCTTCCATCCAGACTGACAGCCAGTTTGGAGAGAGAGAGATGCTTCCATCCAGACTGACAGCCAGTTTGGGAGAGAGAGAGATGCCTTCCATCCAGACTGACAGCCAGTTTGGAGAGAGAGAGAGTGCCTTCCATCCAGACTGACAGCCAGTTTGGAGAGAGAGAGATGCCTTCCATCCAGACTGACAGCAGTTTGGAGAGAGAGGAGATGCCTTCCATCCAGACTGACAGCCAGTTTGGAGAGAGAAGATGCCTTCCATCCAGACTGACAGCCAGTTTGGAGAGAGAGAGATGCCTTCCATCCAGACTGACAGCCAGTTTGGAGAGAGAGAGATGCCTTCCATCCAGACTGACAGCCAGTTTGGAGAGAGAGAGATGCCTTCCATCCAGACTGACAGCCAGTTTGGAGAGAGAGAGATGCCTTCCATCCAGACTGACAGCCAGTTTGGAGAGAGAGAGATGACTTCCATCCAGACTGACAGCCAGTTTAGAGAGAGAGAGAGATGCCTTCCATCCAGACTGACAGCCAGTTTGGAGAGAGAGAGATGCCTTCCATCCAGACTGACAGCCAGTTTGGAGAGAGAGAGATGCCTTCCATCCAGACTGACAGCCAGTTTGGAGAGAGAGAGATGCCTTCCATCCAGACTGACAGCCAGTTTGGAGAGAGAGAGATGCCTTCCATCCAGACTGACAGCCAGTTTGGAGAGAGAGAGATGCCTTCCATCCAGACTGACAGCCAGTTTGGAGAGAGAGAGATGCCTTCCATCCAAGACTGACAGCCAGTTTGGAGAGAGAGAGATGCCTTCCATCCAGACTGACAGCCAGTTTGGAGAGAGAGGAGGAGAGATGCCTTCCATCCAGACTGACAGCCAGTTTGGAGAGAGAGAGATGCCTTCCATCCAGACTGACAGCCAGTTTGGAGAGAGAGAGATGCCTTCCATCCAGACTGACAGCCAGTTTGGAGAGAGAGAGATGCCTTCCATCCAGACTGACAGCCAGTTTGGAGAGAGAGAGATGCCTTCCATCCAGACTGACAGCCAGTTTGGAGAGAGAAGAGATGCCTTCCATCCAGACTGACAGTCAGTTTGGAGAGAGAGAGATGCCTTCCATCCAGACTGACAGTCAGTTTGGAGAGAGAGAGATGCCTTCCATCCAGACTGACAGTCAGTTTTTTTAGAGAGAGAGAGAGATGCCTTCATCCAGATGAAAAGCCAGTTTGGAGAGAGATATATTGCCTTCCATCCAGACTGACAGTCAGTTTGGAGAGAGAGAGATGCCGTCCATCCAGACTGACAAGCCGTTGGGAGAGGAGAGATGCCTTCCATCCAGATGAACAGCCAGTTTGGAGAGAGAGAGAGATGCCTTCCATCCAGCTGACAGTCAGTTTGGAGACGAGAGAGAGCCTTCCATCCAGACTGACAGTCAGTTTGGAGTAGAGAGGATGCCTTCCATCCAGACTGACAGTCCGTTTGGAGAGAGAGAGATGCCTTCATCCAGACTGACAGCATTTGGGAGAGAGAGAGAGTGCCTTCCATCCAGGACTGACAGCCAGTTTTGGAGAGGAGAGAGATGCCTTCCCATCCAGACTGACAGCCAGTTGGAGAAGAGAGAGATGCCTTCCATCCAGACTGACAGCCCAGTTTGGAGAGAGAGAGCATGCCTTCCATCCAGACTGACAGTCAGTTTGGAGAGAGATAGATGCCTTCCATCCAGACTGACAGCCAGTTTGGAGAGAGAGAGATGCCTTCCATCCAGACTGACAGCCAGTTTAGAGAGAGAGAGAGAGATGCCTTCCATCCAGACTGACAGCCAGTTTGGAGAGAGAGAGATGCCTTCCATCCAGACTGACAGCCAGTTTGGAGAGAGAGAGATGCCTTCCATCCAGACTGACAGCCAGTTTGGAGAGAGAGAGATGCCTTCCATCCAGACTGACAGCCAGTTTGGAGAGAGAGAGAGATGCCTTCCATCCAGACTGACAGCCAGTTTGGAGAGAGAGAGATGCCTTCCATCCAGACTGACAGCCAGTTTGGAGAGAGAGAGATGCCTTCCATCCAGACTGACAGCCAGTTTGGAGAGAGAGAGATGCCTTCCATCCAGACTGACAGCCAGTTTGGAGAGAGAGAGATGCCTTCCATCCAGACTGACAGCCAGTTTGGAGAGAGAGAGAGATGCCTTCCATCCAGACTGACAGCCAGTTTGGAGAGAGAGAGAGATGCCTTCCATCCAGACTGACAGCCAGTTTGGAGAGAGAGAGAGATGCCTTCCATCCAGACTGACAGCCAGTTTAGAGAGAGAGAGATGCCTTCCATCCAGACTGACAGCCAGTTTGGAGAGAGAGAGAGATGCCTTCCATCCAGACTGACAGCCAGTTTGGAGAGAGAGAGAGATGCCTTCCATCCAGACTGACAGCCAGTTTGGAGAGAGAGAGATGCCTTCCATCCAGACTGACAGCCAGTTTGGAGAGAGAGAGATGCCTTCCATCCAGACTGACAGCCAGTTTGGAGAGAGAGAGATGCCTCCATCCAGACTGACAGCCGTTTGGAGAGAGAGAGATGCCTTCCATCCAGACTGACAGCCAGTTTGGAGAGAGAGAGAGATGCCTTCCATCCAGACTGACAGCCCAGTTTGAGAGAGAGAGAGATGCCTTCCATCCAGACTGACAGCCAGTTTGGAGAGAGAGAGATGCCTTCCATCCAGACTGACAGCCAGTTTGGAGAGAGAGAGATGCCTTCCATCCAGACTGACAGCCAGTTTGGAGAGAGAGAGATGCCTTCCATCCAGACTGACAGCCAGTTTGGAGAGAGAGAGAGATGCCTTCCATCCAGACTGACAGCCAGTTTGGAGAGAGAGAGAGATGCCTTCCATCCAGACTGACAGTCAGTTTGGAGAGAGAGAGAGATGCCTTCCATCCAGACTGACAGTCAGTTTAGAGAGAGAGAGATGCCTTCCATCCAGACTGACAGTCCAGTTTGGAGAGAGAGAGATGCCTTCCATCCAGACTGACAGCCAGTTTGGAGAGAGAGAGATGCCTTCCATCCAGACTGACAGCCAGTTTGGAGAGAGAGAGATGCCTTCCATCCAGACTGACAGCCAGTTTGGAGAGAGAGAGAGATGCCTTCCATCCAGACTGACAGCCAGTTTGGAGAGAGAGAGAGATGCCTTCCATCCAGACTGACAGCCAAGTTTGGAGAGAGAGAGAGATGCCTTCCATCCAGACTGACAGCCAGTTTGGAGAGAGAGAGATGCCTTCCATCCAGACTGACAGCCAGTTTGGAGAGAGAGAGATGCTTCCATCCAGACTGACAGCCAGTTTGGAGAGAGAGAGATGCCTTCCATCCAGACTGACAGCCAGTTTGGAGAGAGAGAGAGTGCCTTCCATCCAGACTGACAGCCAGTTTGGAGAGAGAGAGATGCCTTCCATCCAGACTGACAGCCAGTTTGGAGAGAGAGAGATGCCTTCCATCCAGACTGACAGCCAGTTTGGAGAGAGAGAGATGCCTTCCATCCAGACTGACAGCCAGTTTGGAGAGGGAGAGATGCCTTCCATCCAGACTGAAGCCAGTTGGAGAGGGAGAGGATGCCTTCTCCAGGTTGGAAGAGAGAGAGAGATGAGATGCCTTCCATCCAGACTGACAGTCAGTTTGGAGAGAGAGAGATGCCTTCCATCCAGGACTGACAGCCAGTTTGGAGAGAGAGAGAGATGCCTTCCATCCAGACTGACAGTCAGTTTGGAGAGAGAGAGATGCCTTCCATCCAGACTGACAGTCAGTTTGGAGAGAGAGAGATGCCTTCCATCCAGACTGACAGTCAGTTTGGAGAGAGAGAGATGCCTTCCATCCAGACTGACAGCCAGTTTGGAGAGAGAGAGAGATGCCTTCCATCCAGACTGACAGTCAGTTTGGAGAGAGAGAGATGCCTTCCATCCAGACTGACAGCCAGTTTAGAGAGAGAGAGAGATGCCTTCCATCCAGACTGACAGTCAGTTTGGAGAGAGAGAGATGCCTTCCATCCAGACTGACAGCCAGTTTGGAGAGAGAGAGAGATGCCTTCCATCCAGACTGACAGCCAGTTTGGAGAGAGAGAGATGCCTTCCATCCAGACTGACAGCCAGTTTGGAGAGAGAGATGCCTTCCATCCAGACTGACAGTCAGTTTGGAGAGAGAGAGATGCCTTCCATCCAGACTGACAGTCAGTTTAGAGAGAGAGAGAGATGCCTTCCATCCAGACTGACAGTCAGTTTAGAGAGAGAGAGATGCCTTCCATCCAGACTGACAGTCAGTTTAGAGAGAGAGAGAGATGCCTTCCATCCAGACTGACAGCCAGTTTAGAGAGAGAGAGAGATGCCTTCCATCCAGACTGACAGCCAGTTTGGAGAGAGAGAGATGCCTTCCATCCAGACTGACAGTCAGTTTGGAGAGAGAGAGATGCCTTCCATCCAGACTGACAGCCAGTTTGGAGAGAGAGAGATGCCTTCCATCCAGACTGACAGCCAGTTTGGAGAGAGAGAGATGCCTTCCATCCAGACTGACAGCCAGTTTGGAGAGAGAGAGATGCCTTCCATCCAGACTGACAGTCAGTTTGGAGAGAGAGAGAGAGAGAGAATCATTATAACCCCAGCAGGGTTGCAGGTTAGCAATTATTGTCATGAGTCTTGTCCTGGAGGCAGAACTGGGTGATTTCACCTTAGATAGGCCGGCTGCAAAGTCAAAATTGGCTATATATTTTTGGGATTAGATGAGTTTATTAGTCACATGCACATGTAATTGCAGGGTACAATGAAATTCTTAAGATCAGAGCTCCAATAATGCAGGTCAGGTTAACAGATTGGTTAAGGTTGGGGTTAAGGTTAGGGTTAAGGTTAGGGTTATTGTCTGTGTCAGCTAGTGACCACTCTGCAGAGCTGCCTCCAGAACAACATTCATGATGAAATACGCTAACCTGCGCAGGGTTCTGGTGTGTCAACAACCTTCCTCCTAAAGGCAGTAAACAGTGACAGTAAAGTCAACATCTGTAACAGTGAACTGTGTGCTGAGATAAAGCAGGCTGATGACGGCACTCCACTCTGTCCATGATGTGGGTGAATAACGAAACAGTTGTCAGCAGAAGGTAATGTGTTGCAGTGGCCAGAGATGTAGTTGGTGATG